TGAGATGTAAATAAGTTAATACCTTTAAAGCACTGAGAGTGCCTGGCACAGAGAAAACATTTAGTAAGCGTTAGCTCTTCCCATTCGTCTTTTAACACCATGTGAATTTTAGGGCACTTCTAATTTGGATGATCACAAGAACAGAGTCACCTGTTTCCTGGTGTCTTCGTCAGCAGGGGTTAAACTTTAGTAGCTGGACCATGAAAACTACGTAAACCTCTTTTTTGCTCCTCCATACTGTGTTACCTGCTGTTTTCATTGTCTGGGACACTAAATTCTCTTCCTTTTCCATCAGTGCTATTATCTAGGAGCCACCAAAGACGCAGCCACGAAGATCCTAAGTGAGGTCACACGTCCGATCAGTGTGCATATGCCTCCAGGGAAGATCTGTGACAAGCTGAAGAAGATGGACAGTCAGATCTGTGAGCTGAAATACGGTATCACAGAGCCCGGCGTTCTTCCCAACACATCCAATGGATTGGCGAACCTCTAAGCCCAGGGCCATGTTTTCTAAAGAGTCAGTGTTAGAAGCAAAGAAATTCTCCACTCACCAATTAGGTTGCTGGGCTGAGCAATGGTGCCTAGTGCCATCTGAGTTTCTTTGAGGGAAGAGAAACGAATAGTACTGGCATAATCAGCATTAGGTTAAAACTGCCAACACCAAACTGCAACGTCGAAACTCATAATGTACTAAGGCAACGTCAGCTGCGTATGTCAAGGAAAATTTCAAAATACAAAGAGAGCAGCTACTCGTGGTGATTTAGCTCTTGGTAACCTAGTAAGACAAAAGTTGCATCTATTCAAAGATGATACGAGGACTTTGAAGTTGTCAATGTGATTCTTTCTTCCTGGACATGTCTACCATTCCGCCAGCTTTAAATTTTAGGAAATAGGTTATTCACATCAAATCAGGTTTTGCCTGATGAAATAGCTTATCAGAGCATGCCTAAAATAAATAGCAAGGAAAGGAAGGAGATGTTCTATTTAAAACATTAGCCTTGGCCTTATAAATTTCACATGGATAGAGCTAGTCTTAGAGTAAGGATTTATATCTGGGCCAGACTTTGGGGTAGATTGTCAAGGTCTGATAAAAGGATTAGGAATCCCTCCCTCAGCCCATCCTTGACAGCTGAAAATCTACCAGAACAGACCCATTTAAATTACCTAAGTCATTAGCATCCAACTCTAACTTATCATAGTCTTATTTTCCAACACAGCTGTGTAATGGGCCTATGCATCATAGCTACATAGCTAGCTTTAAATAGGTTTAAGGTTGGAAGCTACCAAAGACAACCTATTTCTCAATTTGCCAAGGGCAAGACCTAACTAACTCCCAGGGTAGTTATTATGGGTAGGCACCCCTTTTTATTGGCTTCAAAAGTCATGAAGTAGAGGCAGAAATCACTGAGTCCACATAAACAATATTTGCAAAAGGGACAAACCTCTGCAGCTTCATTCATTCAAACAACAAATTTATTTTGAATAACTTCTCCTATATGCAAGGGATCTTAACAGGGCTCCTTAATAGAAAAACTATTCAGATTGAGAAGAAATGAAAGCTTAATGTTTGGCAACACCGGCCACTAGAGGCCCTTGGGGAGCTGTGAACTAGTTTTAATTTTTGTACGGACCTATTTTTTTTTTTTGATAGTTTTAGGACATCACAGAGGTTTTCCCCTTTTTAAAATTAATGCCAAATGCCAAGTTCTTTAGAAGAACTCAAACAACAGACACTTGCAAAAAAGAATTTTTCTCCTTCGACCTGTTATCTTGAATAGATCAATCATTCTAAATTCTCCCTACCTTATTGTCAGCAAAGATGAGATTGAATAGGGGCCCTTGTGCTGTGGGATATTCATAATTTGGGCTATGAAAGTTTCTACTTTTGAAGGTATTCTTTTAAAGGTCAGCCATGAAATTAACAAGCCAGATAAGTGTAAAGTTGGAGTATGTTTTCAATTAGGAAGGTGTCATTTGGTTTTTGACCTGAAAGAACGTTTTCTTTTGCTTGCTTTGTTATTTAAAAGGATGAGGAATCACTATAAAAATTTAAGGGTCCTCTGGAGTACTGTGTATAGCCGACCCCCCAAATTAAAAAGGGCTTTAACATCCAACTTTTGAATTACAACACACTTACTAGAAATTTTTGACAAATCGCTTGACAACCATTAAGTTTTTAATGTTTTAAAATGTTATGTTCTATTACTCAGGGAAAAAATGGGAAAGA